CCTGTCCAGGTCCCTCTGCAGAGCCTTCCTGTCCTCCAGCAGATCCATATGCCTGTCCATCTTGGGATCACCTGCAAACTGACTGAGTGTGCCCTCGATCCCCTCATCCAGATCATGGATGAAGATGTTAAACAGGACTGTCCCCAGTACGGAGCTCTGGGTAACACCACCTGTGACTGGCCACCAACTGGATTTGACTCCATCCACCACCACTCTTTGGGTCCAACCAGCCAGCCAGTTTTCCACCCAGTGAAAAGCACATCCAACCAAGCCGTGAGCAGCCCAATTCTTCAGAAGAATGCTGTGGGAAATGGTGTCAAAGGCTTTCCTAAAGTCTAGGTAGACAACATCCCCAGCCTTTCCCTCATCCACTACGCAGGTCACTTTGTCATAGCAGGAGATCAGGTTAGCCAAGCAGGACCTGCCTTTCATAAACCCATGGTGACTGGGCCTGATCACCTGGTTGTCCTGTACGTGCTGTGTGATGGCACTCAAGATGATCTGCTCCATGACCTCCCTCGGCTCTGAGGTCAGGCTGACAAGTCTGTAGTTCCCTGGATCCTCCTTCCGGCCTTTCTGGTAGATGGACGTCATGTTTGCTAACCTCTGGGTCTACTGGGACCTTCCCAGTTAGCCAGGAGTGCTGATAAATGATGGGAAGTGGCTTGGTGTGTACCTCCAGCAGCTCCCTCAGTAACCTGGGGTGGATCCCATCCGCCCCCATAGACTTGAGTGTGTCTCAAAGTGGTGTGGCAGCTCGCTAACCACTTCTCTTTGGATGGTGGGGTCTTCATTCTGCTCCTTGTCCCTGTCTTCCAGCTCATGGGGATGGGTACCTGGAGAATAACTGGCCTTAAACTGGTCTTTAGACACAGCAGGAGCTGCTGGGGGATCTTCAGGCCTGTCCCAAAGCTCCTGTATCTATCAGTCAGAGGTTTTGTTTGGAAGGCAGCTGGGAGTTCAGTCCATCAGTCAATCTGGTGTCTCACCGCTGCAGGAACCAGCTGGTGGATCTGCTGGACCACCCTGAGACTGGATGTCCATCATGTGCTGTGTGTGCACCTGGGCACAGCCCGATTCCTGGTCACGCCACAGTTGTACCCAGGGGGCAAAACTGAACTTTATCCTTCTGTCACACTTACAACATCAATACTGTAGCTGATGTTAGAGCAGACCCTCAGAAGGGGTTCCTCTGGGCAGCTCTGGAGGGTTTCCAAGTGGTCCTGAAGGGTTTCTAGACCTGTTGTGATGGCCAAGGGACACTGGCCTGTCTTGGCTGCTCCATCCCTGACCTGGCTTTGGTGCTGCACAACTTAAGGCCAAAAAACTACATTGTGCAGGGTCAGCGAGTCCACCTTTGCCTGCCTGACCTTGGGTGAGAGGAGAGACAGAGCCTGGTGTCCCACGAAGGAGGGTGGTGGTGGGACAGGACATCTTGGTGCAGGAACAGGGATAAGGCTGGCCCGGAAAACCGAGCTGCTGAGGTTTGGTGGAGCAAGGAAGGTACAAAGAGCAGATTTCCAGACATCCAGCCCAGGGCATTCCCTGCCTGGGCAGGACACTTGGCTGCCCTTGCGTCATTCATCGGCCGGCGGGAAAGGTGGATCGTGGGTATGGACCACAGCCAAGAGACTGGGGCTCGGGCAAGGAATTTCCTAGAGCCACGGGCTGATGCAAGCCCTCGCGGGAAAATGCGAGATAACCAGGGAGCAAAAGGCACCTGCAGAGCCAGGGTGAGAGCAGAGAAGCGGCAGACGGAGCAGCATGGCAGAGCTTCGGGTCTTCTCCCTTCTGGTGACTGGGGCCAACCGGGGAATCGGGCTGGGGCTTGTCCAGCAGCTCCTGGGGCTGCCAAAGCCGCCCAAGTGGGTCTTTGCGGGTTGTCGGGACCCCAAGGGCCAGCGAGCACAGGTGAGGCTGGGCTGGGAGGCGGCGGGTGGTGCTGGGGACGGGAGCTCTGGGTGCCAGGGCAGCAGGTTGGAGCAGGGAGGGGGTTTGCCAAGGGCTGGAGCTGCAGCCGGGCAGGCGCGGCACAGGGCAGCCGGGCTGGGCCGGCCGTGGGACCAGCTGTGCCCGGGCTGTGCGGAGGGGACAGTGGCACGTGGGGTGTGCGGGAGGCACGGAGCCCATCCCAGGGGAGCAGGGCAGCCAGAGCAGGGTGCTGGGTGCCAGCGGGGCAGGGCCGGAGCCGGAGCAACGTGGGCTTTGCCTGGGAAAGGCTGAGGCTCTGCACAGCTGGGCCAGCCTGGCCGTGCCCACGCGGTCCCCTCTCTTGCAGGAGTTACGGAATTTGGCCTCCAAGCACCCCAACCTGGTCATCGTCCCGCTCGGTAGGTGCCCCGAGGTGGGGGTCCCTCACCCCCATTCCCTCGGCGTGTGCCCGGGCGCTGGGTGGGAGCCGTGCCCACGGGACAGTGCCTGTGGGGACAACGGGCACTGCCGTCCCTCCTGCCCATGGCCAGCTCCGAGGGCATGTCCCTGGGGGGACACGGGGGGCTCCGAGTCACCACGGGGGTGTGGGCACTGACCTCCCCTGCATCGGCTCTGCAGAAGTCACCGACCCTGCCAGCATCAAGGCGGCTGCAGCCAAAGTTGAGGAACAACTGGGGGGCTCAGGGCTGAACCTTCTCATCAACAACGCTGGGATATCAAAGCCAAAATTGCTTGAAAATGAGACGCTGGAGAACATGACCCAGGTTTACAGCACCAACACAATTGGGCCACTGCTTGTGAGCCAGGTGAGAGCCTCACCCCCAGCACCATGGTGCATTTCCAGGGGACATCCCTTCCCATGGCCTCGAGTCCCTGATCTGGCCATCCCAGGGGGTGCAAAGGGCTGGTGGGAGAACATCCTGAATCCACTTCGGTGCCTGCTGGGCTCATGCCCAACAAGAAGCTTGTGGAGTTTAGGAGCTGTAACCTGGTGGGCTGGGGGCAGTGGGAAGAAGAGAGACAATGCTCTGGTGCTGGTGACAATGTTGGTGATGAAGGAGCTGACCCTCTCCCCTGTGCCGCTTCCATGCATTC